TTCTCACAGAAAGATGAAGGAAATTATAATAATATTATGAGGAAATGTATAGAAATAAAGACTTGCAAGCGGTAGAATTGTCAATGGGTGGATATACTGTGTATCGCTTTGCCGTATTTGTTGTCCTGCACGTAGCGCATGGATGTGTCAGTGACGGAGCGCAAGGGTCTGTTCTGGATTGTGGATGACGAGGCTCAGCGTCCCAACAACTCTGAGAAGAACCTACTGGAGCAGCTGGATCAGATCCATGGCAAGGGAGAACAGCGAGGTTAGGACAAGTATGAGACGTATGGCACAACAGGGGCGTACCTGGTCCCCCTTTTTGGGGGGGGGGGGTGCACGTGTCCCTATGCCCCATGCGGGCTACGCACCTGCACTACATTACTGTCGGTCGTCGAAGAACTGGGCGTCAGCCTCGCAGCCCAGGCCGTTCATACGTTCATGTATTACAGTCTATGCTCAGTTGAGTCGCCGTGTACACATTGGTGTACTGTGCTTGGTGAACATTCTAGCCTGTTCGTTCTTCGACGTTCCGTAGTTTGGCGCTCGACAGTGCTTTAACCACTAATGGACCAGGAACAGGAGAGAAATGTGCCTTTGGGCTCTTGTGTGAGACGATATACAGAGATTCTGATTGGTTTGCCGAAACAACGAGTTGATGTCTATAGCAGGGTGGGCGTACGTTGCTTTTTGTGCGTGCTTTTGGAAAATGGAAAATGGGACACGGGGTAAATTCCCTGCCAGGGCGCCCCCCACCCCCCCCACCCCCAACTATTTTTTGCCTGGCTTGAACCCTGCTATGTAGTATGACGAAAATGAAATTTTCAGAATCCTCACAATCTCCATGCTGCTGTTTGCCGTGCGTGTCTGTGTCCTCCGTGCAGAGAAGCCATCGCTGCGCGTCCTTCCCGACACATCCAGCTTCATCCTGGTGCACTGCCAGGGTGTGATGCCGGTGGAGTACGATGTGCGCGGCTGGCTGAGGCGTGCGAGAGAGCACGCCTCGTTCAAGGCGGCCAACTCCATGATCCAGGACGTACAGAGGTACGCCGTGCTCTGTGTGGGGTGTGATTGGGTGTGGTGGGATAATGGACGGATTGCGTGTGTGTGTGTGGGGGGGGGGGGGGGGGAGTATAGTGGGGTAGTGCAGCACACACACAGTAGTGCTGGGGAATCTCCCAGAAACACACAGAATGCACCATCTTCCCCAAGTCACAATTACCTCTTTGAAACAAGAGCTCACGAAAATGACACGTTGTTGTATTCTGACCTTCTCCTTTCCTACCCCACCTCCACTATGTACAGTGGGTGCATCAGCGCTCTGATTCGCGGTCGCCTGGCAACCAGTGAGTCGCAATCATCAAGTAGCAACAGCTTAGCCAGCATGACCAGCGACCATAGTTACAAGCGGACAATGCGTCGGCCTGTCCTTGGGGGTGGCAAGCGAGTGTCACTCTGTATGCAGACCAAGTTTCATCAGGTGAGAGAGAGAGAGAGAGGTGTTCTGTGTGGTTCACGGTGTGTGTGTGGGGGGGGGGGGGGCAGGGCTGTGCGTCTGGTGTGTGTGTGTACACGCGTATGTTTGTACACATATTTGTGTACATGATTGTGTGTGTGAATGTGTGTGTGTGTGCACATGTGTGTGAATGTGAGCGTGTGAACGTGTGTGGGTGTATGCGTGTGTGCATGTGTACATGCGTGCATGTGCATGCGTGCGCGCGCACGTGCGTGTGTGTGGCTCTGTGTTTACTGGCTCTGCATTGCTCATTGGTTTCCTTCAGGACCTGATCATGGACACTCTGCGCAAGACGTCACCGCAGTTCGTTCTCTGTGTGCTACCATTACCGCACGCCCTTCCAGACTGGCAAAAGGTAACGTCGGAAATCAGGCGTGAAACTTGAATTGGCACCGTTGCAGCTTGATGCTGCTAAAGCCAATGATGGCGAGGCATGCTAGCGATACCGTGGCACTTGTACTTACGAAATATCTGTTTGCTACCATTAGCACACACCCTACAAGATTGGCAAAGGGTAACGTTGGAAATCAGGCTTGAAATGGCACCGTTGCAGATTGCCGCTGTGGCCAGCGAGGCCGTGGCACGTGCACTTACGACTTACCCGTGGCTCAATGTTGCGCCTTGTGATGATTGTCGGGATGTTGCTACAGTGTTGGAGCGTTGAAGCTAGTCTTACGCAAGAGCTGTACGCTCTGTAGCAGTAGCGCTAGCACATTAACTGGTGCACAGATTTAAGACTCGCATGTACGTGTGTGTGTTTTTGTGTGTGTGTGTGTGTGTGTGTGTGTGTGTGTGTGTGTCACACACACACGCACACATGCACACACACACGCACGCTCGCGCGTGCGCGCATACACACACGCATACGCACACATGCACACTCGCATGTACATACACGTTGAAGGGCACGTCAGTGGTGCATAATCAAGACAAACTCTTTCTGTCCTGCAGTTGCAAATATTTTTTTGTATGCACATGTGGCCTGTTTGTGTGTATGCACACACATACACACACATATCATGCTTATAAATTCAGCATCCGGTGATGGCAAGTTCAGGCAACAGCACAGCCACGTCGTCCACCAGTCTACACATTGGCCAGACGGGCAGTGTGGGTGTCATTCGCGGTACTACACATGTTGGACAGGTATGGACTATAAAATTCCAATCGTATTTTACTACTGCATATTGCTTTTGGTTTTGATCTTTACGCCTAGCACATGACCATGCGCGGGAAATGGAATGTATGCTCATCTTTGCTGTTGGTGTTGTGTGCTGGCTTGAATACCATCACCAGCTTCATCATGTGTCCGTATGTCAATACGTTCACAGGCAGGTTTGTTTTTGCGGCCGCGTACTGCAGGGGTTTCGACTTGAGTTAGTTTTATTGGTCTCTATCGTAGTATTGTGTGCACAGTCTTGGCGATGAAGTGTCATAGTGCAAGACAGTCATTTATGTTTGCATCCTCTCCTCTCCTCTCCTCTCCTCTCCTCTCCTCTCCTCTCCTCTCCTCTCCTCTCCTCTCCTCTCTCACACTCACTCACTCCCTCTCCTTCTCTCCCTCTCTTCATGTCTGTTGATCTCTCTCCCTCTCTTTCTGTCTGTCTTGCTGTATCTCCGTACTGTTCTCATGACGCAGCTCATGGATGTACCACTGGTGAGACTGCAGCTGCGTCGCACTGAGTTGGTCAATGCCATGCGTCTCTACCGACAAGGTACATGTACATGCAGTACAAAGCAGTGTTGCTACTGCTGGTGTTTGTGTGTGTGTGTGTGTGTGTGTGTGTGTGTGTGTGTGTGTGTGTGTGTATGTGTGTGTGTGTGTGTGTGTGTGAGGCAGACTAGTTATGTATTGGCACAGGTCGATGTATGTCTAACCTCTGCTCATGCAAAGTTTAGTCCTGGACTCCTTGTCATGACCGATGTGTTTGTAGAGCTATTGCACATCTGTCGCATCAAACTACGGGCCAGTCATGTTGGGTCCTACACCAGTCAATCCTTGCATCAATAGGTCACATGATGTCGGCCATGTTGGTTTCAACTCTACTCAATCCTTGCATCAATAGGTCGCATGATGTCGGCCATGTTGGTGCCACTCCATCCACTGTCCGCATGTCTTGATCACTTTCTACACAAATCTAGTCACATGACATGATCTTTTCCTGCACAAATTTAGTCACATGACTTGATCACTTCCTACACGAATCTAGTCACATGACATGATCACTTCCTACACAAATCTAGTCACATGACATGATCACTTCCTTCCTACACAAATCTAGTCACATGACATGATCACTTCCTACACAAATCTAGTCACATGACATTATCACTTTCCACACAAACCTAGTCACAGGACACGATCACCTTCCACGTGCATTTAGTCACGTGACAAAGATGTGAACACAGCTCTATACCTGCGTGACTTTCTATGATGTATGTAGCTGTACTGTTTCCTCGGAAGGTCTGTAACACTTAGCAGTACCCCAGTCCGGCAGACCAGACTGGGGATGCGGTAACGAGAGTTGCTCTTGCTCGTGACGCACTCGTTTCACAGCAGCTCGCTAACACATCTTCGCTGTGTTTCTGATCACTTGCGCGGTTCAGGCTTTCCCGACTACATGCCGTTCGGCGAGTTCCTGCGTAAGTTCCAGCCGCTTGCCAACGTCCAGTCCATGCTGACGGAAACGGGAAGTGTGGACGAGAAGAAGGTAAGCAAGCATCTCTCTGTCTTGTGGTGCACTGGTAGTGGGAATTGGGATAGATAATATCAAGAGTACATAACCAAGAGTGTGCAACTCGACGATCCCCCAGCCCACGGCGGAATATTTTTATGACATCAGTCTTTGGTGGCTGTTTGGCTCACGGATGCCATCATGCGTAGCCCGAGATCAAAGTACAAAGAATGTGTGCGTCACAGCTACGGGAGTGAAAGCAGAACAACGGACGATATTATCGATGCGTCCTGAACCTGGTGCACTCTCACCTTACATGTATTTACAAAACAAGCGCGGGAAAGCATACGCACTTCATCACACTGCTGCCAAAGAATGACGTAATAAAAAATTCCGCCGTGGGTGAACCCATCATAGCTGGAGGTAGGAGTTGCACACTCTTGGTTAGAATGCACTCTTGATAATTATTTAAAAGTATGCAGTGTTTGCAGAACCATTGGTAGCATTGGGGGTTCCCCTGGAGTGCGTGCAGAGCTAACGGTAGCACATACCAATACTGGGGGGTTTCCCCTGCAATGCTTTCAGAACCAGTGGTATCGCATACTCCCATGGATACTGTAAAAGCAGAAATTTTCGGTGGTGTTTTATTTTCGGTAACTTCGGTGCCGACAATCTTTACCGAAAATAAAACGCACCGAAAATTTCGGTACTACCGGTGCTGTATACATGTAGTACAAGAACACTTACCTCGAAAATGGGTTTTACCGAAAATTTCCCTCTACCGAACCGCCGATTTTGGAGAATACCGAAAATATTACACCACCGAAAATTTCTGCTTTTACAGTATGCCATATTACAGGCCGGTTAAGCCTGTTGGGTTGGGCAATGTGATTATGTCATATGGCGAGGTACCCTCTTTCTCACTCTAGGCAATCTACCACGGTCACATGCGATGCTGTTGTGATGTGTGAGGCTAGCCATGGCAACTTCGGACAGAGAGTACCAGTATTAAAATTAAAGGCACTTGTACGGGGTTTCGACTCGGTTTGCACTGCCGACGTTGTGTGCGTGTGTCCTGTGCACAGGCCGTGGAGGAGCTACTGTTCAAACTGGAGATCGACAAGAAGGCGTATCGTCTCGGTCTCAGTCAGGTAGGGCTGGTCGATGGTGTATGTTGTATGTGTGTATGTATGTATGTATGTATGTATGTATGTATGTATTATGTATGTATGTATGTATGTATGTATGTATGTATGTATGCGTGCGTGCGTGTGTGCGCGTGTGCATGCATGCATGTATGTATGTATGTATTCTTTTTATTCCCGTAGCTATGCAGAAGACGTTACTTCAGTAACGTCTGGCGCTAGCCAGGGTCCACACAGCTTTAATTTGGTATTTGTGTGTTTGTTTGTTTGTGTCACGCCTGGCGCTATCCCGTGTCCCGTAGCTATGCAGAAGAGTAACGTCTGGCGCTAGCCAGGGTCCACACAGCTTTAATTTGGGATTTGTGTGTTTGTGTGTTTGTGTCACGCCTGGCGCTATCCCGTATCTGTCCCGTACCGTACCGTACCATCAAACACAGCTGGCCACATACAGCTGGCCGCAATATTCAAATAGGGCTTTCAAACGCAAGATCATAACGTGAAGCAACTTGGAAGAATGGGTATGAATGCGAAGTGTATGGGGGAATGCATGTAGGGCGATAGTGCGGGTTCGAATCCCAGGATATGCCTGAAAAAAATTAGGAGAATTGAAAAATTTATAACATCCCTATGCTTTTTTTGCCGTCATCAAGGCGGTAGACGGTGTCGTACTACCCTCGATCGTACCTGTCCCGTACCTATCCCGTACCGTACCGTACCATCAAAGACGGCTGGCCACAATGCATAATTCAAATAGGGCTTTCAAATGCAAGATCATAACATAACGTGAAGCAACTTGGAAGAATTAGTATGTATGCGAAGTGTATCGGGGGATGCATGCAGGGCGCGCGATAGTGCGGGTTCGAATCCCAGGTTATGTCGTAAAAAAAGGAATTTTTTAAAGAATTTCCCTATGCTTTTTTTTGTCTAGGTCATCAAGGCAAAAAAGCATAGCGTAGGGCCCTGAGCTTCCAAGCTCTCTCGTTTGAATTTGCAAGTACAAACGGGTTACATGCCCAATTACATCACAGCGAATTTTACACGACAGCGAATGCAAGCAGAGAAGGTTTGAATGTGTGAAGCCCAGTTTCAGTGACCAGCCATGCGGCTGGCTAGTCCAGCGCTGTGTGAGCACTGGGTGGCGGCGTCTGCAACCAACCTGCGATTACCTGCACAGTCAGACCTCGCTTATCCGGTCCTCTTTTATTCGGATCCCTCGCTTATCCGGTCCTCTTTTATCCGGATCCCTCGCTTATCCGGTCCTCTTTTATCCGGATCCCTCGCTTATCCGGTCCTCTTTTATCCGGATCCCTCGCTTATCCGGTCCTCTTTTATCCGGATCCCCCGCCATCCGGAAGAAAACTGGTGGTTACCGATTTACAGCAGATGGCATGCATACATACAGCATGTGTGTTTGATTATCCGGTTCCCTCGCCTATCCGGATATTTTTTGTGGAAAACGGATGTGTGCGGCCGAGTAAGCGAGTTCTGACTGCACAGTGAAACCTGTCTTGGGTGACAGCTCGTCGAGGGACCTTCACAAACAAGTGGTCTCTGTGTACGGGTAATTTGATTTGAAAAAAAAGAAAAAAGAAACAACATCCCTGGTTTGTAGTGGTCCTGTTGGACAGGTGGTCGCCTTATCAGAGTGGTCGCCTTGACACATTTTGCTGGACATGGCATGAATGTCAACAAAAATATTGACTTCTGGGTCAAAACTGGATCCGATCTGCCACGGCTGTTCGCATGCGGCCATCTAACAATACGGTGGCATTTTTTTGTGTCGAAATGGCGTTTTAAATGCGATTCAAGGCAGGAGTGTAAACTACAGGTTAAAAGGCGGAATTGTTGAAAATCAGAGGGAATAAGGAAAGCACATACATGTAGGAATCAGGTAAAAGGTATTCAGTGTGAGTTGGAATTGTTAACCCTTTATGGACAGATTACAAGCACAGGCTGCACCAGAATTTCAAAATGTCAGTATAATTTTCCACTTTTCCATGTCATAACTTTGGTGTCCTTCACTTGATTTTCACAATCAAGGGCTCATTGGAAAGCTCTGGGCGAGAGCAAAGCCAGGGTACCAATCTCCATTATCCAGCCGCCACAAATCAGGCGCGGTAACACAGCAAAGTCGTCTCCAAGCCTGATATGCAAGCAAATTCGTCCCATCAACGCCATTCCACTCTCCTTCATCGCAGAACGCTCAAATCTGTTTGAGACGATTCAAACTTCAGCCGGCTACGTCATTATCATGTGCTCAGTCGCTCAAAGAGCACACGAAAAGGGATTTTCCCCCAAAATGGCGAAATGATCGATCAAAAATTTGAATTTGCCGAGGTAAGAATACGGCGTGCGATATCTCTGGCGTCCGACATTGTAACTCTTCGGCGATTATTGCATTGGACAGCTTTGAGTTTCCGCTACCACGTAGACCCGTCGATTGTGGAATTTGCTCAAGAAACGATGGAGTTACGAAGATTTTACCGCCTGCAGACTTTCGATCTTATTAGATCGAAACTCGTACAGTCCGTCCACAAAGGGTTAACGTTTAAAAACAAGAACAACGCCTTCTTCTTGTTCACGGCTGTTCGTACGCAGACATCTAACAATGTGGTGGCGATTTTTGTCGAAAATCGCACAGGAAATTGCCAATACAAGCGGAATTGATCGAAAACGGAGGGAATATCGAAAAAAAACCATACGGCAAAGCAGGTAAAAGCCAAATAGATCAAAGCAGCGCGAGCTGCACACTGCAAACAACAAAGTCTTCTTGTTCAGTTCTTTGTTGAGTCTTGACGATTCATCGTGATATCGGTGACGAGGAAAGTGGTCAAGTTAGCTATGTACCTGTAGAACAGAAAGATGGAGAAAGAAAAGAAATACATGTTCTCTCCAGGCGTGTACTGTAAAAGCAGAAACTTTCGGCGGTGTTCTGTTTTTGGTAACTTCGGTGCCGACAATTTGTACCTAAAATAAAATGCACCGAAAATTTCGGTACTAGCATTAGTACACTTACCTGGAAAACGGGTTTACCGAAAATTTCCCTCCACCGAACCGCCGATTTTGGAGACTACCGAAAAAATCACAGTGACACCACCCAAAATTTCTGCTTTTATAGCAAGTAGAGAGACTGCACACCGCGTGCAATCCTATGAAAGAGTTGCGTCATTGAAAAAGGAATCCATTCGAGTTCAGGAGAGAAAACAAATAAAGTTGGTTACTCACAATATTTGCCAGAGATCATGTCGACTGGCAGCGTTTTGTCATGGGACGCTGAATAGCTTGAGGCAGAGTTCGGGACAGATGCTGCTCAGCCATAACTTTCAGCCTCCGCAGAAGATCGGGAATGTGGCGGTACCTTCGCTCAAGAGTGTTGAACTCTGCATGTATGCTCTCTGCTCCTTACTCGACCAGCAGACCGAGCCCTATTCCGAGCCTCTCCGTGGATAATGGAATTTGATGGCTTGGAACAGATGAAAAAGCTCCCAGGAAATATATTGCTATAATGAATTATGTGTACCTTCCTGCAGTGGCCAAAGGCAGCTTCATGTAGCGCAGCTGGACAACGTGCTGAAGTCATCCATCAGGTCGGGACAGCGTTCCTGAATGACGGAGATGAGAGCAGCAGCAATTGACTGCAGGACAGCGGGCTGAAGTGCGCAGTGCACATGGTTACCGATGAATGCACCTCCGTGATATACCTGGCGCTTGATGTTGTGGCAGCACAGGTTCGACTGCTGATTCGCAAGGCCCACAGATGTCCTTATCAGCAGCTGCGGCAAGTATCTGCTGCAAGATGCCCTCCTTTGCCTTTGTTATCTCCACCAATGTGTCACTGGCCTTCTGCCACTCCGCTCGGATCTGTTCAGAGTGTGGCCAGGGAACGTGGCAGACTATCCTCGGGCTCTCTCTCTCTCTGCAATACTGGCATCTCCATGGATTTCCTTCTGCAGTGCCAGTGTAGGCACTGCAGTGGCAATGTAGGCACGGGCGTAGGCCACTTTGTCCGGACAACCCGTACGTGCTGCTCTGGAACTCAGTCTCTGAAGACGACAATTTTTTTGTCTTACAATCAGTATTATTTCCTCTCCGGACTTGCATGTACGCGTTTCAGGCATCGGGGGATTTTGGATGGTTGTCTACTGACAGGTGTGTCTTGTAACCGATGTCGTACTGACGAGCGTAGACCTGTACTGGTAGGTCAACAAATATTCGGCGCATATTTATTTTCGCCTATTTTCGGCCTGGTCATGTTTGCCCGAAAATTTGCTGCAGCGGAAATTTTTGTTTTGCGAGTTTCAGTCTGACAGTGTATACAGGCGGCAGCCGTACAGGCTGAAAATTTGAATGGGCCGAAACGAGGTTTTAACCCTGGGAGGCCGAAATTTGAATGGGCCGAAAATTTGTAGACTAACACTGACAGTGCTTGGTAGCCATAGGAGTACTTCTAGGTGGGAAACGCGAGGGGAAACCCCTAATGGGACGTGCATTATAATTATGTCAAAATGACCGAAATTGGCCGTCTTGTAGTGTTGAGTGAGAATATGAATACCATATCGTACGAGAAAGGCAAACATGTCCTGATGTCGTTTTTCATGCTCAGGTGTTCTTACGAGCTGGGACGCTGGTGAAGCTGGAAGGTGCGCGAGACGAGAGATCGTTTGACACGATAGTCCTGTTCCAGGCCCAGTGCCGCGGCATGCTGGCAAGAAGACGGCTGGAGAAGATGCGGGTAAGTGTTGTGAACGAAGCAGAGAGACAGAGAGTGAGATTGAGAGAGAGAGAGAGAGAGAGAGAGAGAGAGAGAGAGAGTGATAATGAGAGAGAGATACCCCCTCTCTCACTCTGATCCTCTATTCATTTTCTCTATCTCTCTCTCTCTCTCTCTCTCTCTCTCTCTCTCCCCCCCCCCCCTTCTCTCTTACTCTCGCCCTTTATCTCTTATCTCTCCTGTTCACTCACTTTCTCTCTCCCCCACACACTCTCTCTCTCTCTTTCTCTCTCTCTCACACACACACACAAACACACACACACATACTGTACACACACGCACGCACGCACACACACACACGCACGCACACACACACACACACACACACACACACACACACACACTCTCTTTCTTTCTCTCTCTCTCTTCATTGCTAACTCACTTTCTATCTCTCTCACTGCCTTGTGACAGACTCATCTCGTAGCCGTGCAGTGCCTTCAGCGTAACATCCGCAAGTTCATTGTGTTTCGCAACTGGCCATGGTGGAAACTGTACACCAAGGTAAAACCAGTCTTGGATATTCATCGCACTGACGAGGAGCTACGGGAAAAGAAGGTTGGTGGTATAGTTGTGCTTGTGTGTGAGTGCCTGCGCAGGGGGAGGGGTATTGGATGGGTTTCTGCTTTGCCTGGAATCACTTACTTCTCATTTAGTTCTCAACACCTGAGAGGAGGAGGAATTGCAGCACTAAGAACTTTAGCCTGTCTCTACATGTTGTGTGTGTGTGTGTGTGTGTGCGTGTGTGTGTGTGTGCGTGTGTACATGCGCGTGTGTGCGTGTGTTTGAGGTTTGATGTCAATGTGCATGTGGGTGCATGTGCGTATGTCTCAATGCATCTTTGCGTGTACGTAACATTTTTGTGTACAGCAATTGATCGATAGCCTACAAGCGAAGATTGATAAGCTGCAACGAGATTACAGTGGCATACGGGAAAACGAATCACAACTGAAAGAACGAGTAAGAGTATTATTTCACGATGGTTTGTAATTGATCTCTCCTCGTCTTCTCCTCCATCGGCTGCGTTGGTGTGTGTAATGGCTACTGAGGTAGCCATGTGTCGGTTGAGAACGCATGGAGGAGAAGAAGAGGAGGAGAGATTGTTGTATTATTGAACAGCTGAATGGTACCGTTCACAGCTTTGTTGGTTTGTATTGACAATTTGACGTTGAGTTAAATACCCAATGGCGAGTAGTGCATAATGTCCAGAAGTGGCGACTGCCGTTTCCTGTTATCTACTCTAGCTCTATCTGCATGGTGTGATGGCTTTGATCTTTGCGGTGGGTGACATTCACGATGTGTGGCCATGCTCATCAGGCCCCGCCGCAACCGGTCCGGTTGGTCAGGTTATTACCGGACCAACTTTTCAGCCAAGAACACATGTTTCCTATTGTGGAGGGCAGGTGTGCCCGCCATACCATACACAAACTGTATGAACGGCCATGATACTACCGGACCAATCAAAACCTGCTTTCGGCGGTCCTGCTCGTCATCCTAATGTGTTCGTGCTCCAAGAAAGAAAGAAAGAAGATTGGTGTTTTGATAGTGCTCTCATGGATGTTTCATTGCTTTGAGCTACAAGTTTGCTCTTGTCAGCTCAGGACAATGGGACAGTGAAACACGGTAGCGTTGATGCTAGGGGTTTTGTTGTGTGTGTTTGTGTGTGTGTGTGTTTGTGTGTGTGTGTGTGTGTGTGTGTGTGTGTGTGCGTACGTGCGTGTGTGTCTGCTTACGTGCGTGTGTGTGCGCATGCACGTGCGTGTGTGTGTGTGCATGCACGTGCATGTGCGAGCGTGTATGTGTGTGTGTTTGTGTGTGCCCATATGTGGGATCATTTTCCAAGTGCGTCCATGATTTGGGGATTTCAGGGGGTGTCGGCCGTTGGGCGGTTCAATAGCCAATCGAGTCATCTTTCCAAGATTCCTTTTGAATATCTCTCCCCTCTCCCGGGGGGGGGGGGACTCACGTGACCAGGTTTGGCAGGGATCAAGTACAAGTAAAAGTGTCTGTGTGTCTGCGTGCAATGCGTATTTAATTGCTTGAATTCACAGGTAAGCCAACTAACTGGAGACCTGCAGGAGGAGAGAGCAGCGTTGCGCTCCACCGATGAAACGCTGGAACAGGAGCAGATGGAGCGGCTGCGCTTGGAGCAGGAGCTAGCTGAGATCCAGGCAGAACATACGCTGGTCAAGAATCAGAAAGACCAGCTGTCCTTACAGCTCACTGAGGCACAGCTGCTCAGTGCCACGTCAGATACCGTTGCCATGTCGTTCACTCCTGACGAAGACCTGGAAGGTACGGCGTGAATTGGGGAGGGGGACGTACACCTGTGTGTGTGTGTGTGTGTCTAACATAGCTGTTCGCTATCATCGCTTCCGCGATGGGCAAGTCTGAGGTCTGAGGTGTGTGTGTGTGTGTGTGTGTGTGTGTGTGTGTGCGCGCGTGTGTGTGTGTGTGTGTGTGTGTGTGTGTGTGTGTGCGTGCGTGCGTGCGTGTGTGTGTGTGTGTTTACATGCTTGGGTACGTCTGTGTTGCTCTTGTAACCCGTGTGCCGCATGGTTTGGTGAGGGTGTTATGCTCATGTCTGGCTGTACACAGTAAAAGCTGTAATGCCAAGACTAGTATAGCTGAACCTAGCCATTCTTATCCCCCTGTGTTCCTGTGTTGGCTCTTCTACCGCCTATGCAGATGACAGCCTGTCTCGAGGACAGTATGAGCGGCTCAAGGCCGACCACAAACAGGCCCTGGAGCGGCTGCGTGTGGAAATGGAGCAGGAGAACGAGAAGTTGCGTTCGGCGAAGAGACGCGCCGATCAGCAGGTTAGTAGTGTAATGGCTGCCGCCGTCGAGCGGTCGATAGGCAGCCTCTCTGCTCTGGATGGCAGCCTCTCTGCTCTGGATGGCAGCTGTGAATCACACACAGTGGTGTAGCATGGAGGTGGATAATGCAACAGGAACCTACTTTCTTAGGCGGAGGGCCTACAAAGTTGCACAAACAATTTTGTCAAAAGATGAGAAGACAGTTCTGGTATCAGCACACTATAATTATGAATATTCTTTTGTCAATTATTATTATGGACGCAGCGAATGGGATTTTCGGTCTTTGACCACTTTGCCTAGTCTTTGGTGGGTCTATCTGCTCAACTCCCACCCCTTTAGGAGCTGCATCTGGGCCTTGATCTTTGAAGGGCGGTGACGTTCGTACAGATGCGGAAAACTCGGCCTTTAGCCGAGTCTCACGCTAACTGTGACATTTTTACTTTTTTGTTTATGTTGATCCCGTTCTATGTTCTCCGTTGTCACAATTCTCTCCCGTTATCAGGTGTCCGCTGCTCAAATGGAGGCTGAAGACTTGCAGGCATCCCTGGCAAACTCTAAGAAGAAGACGAATCGGCTGGAGTCAGAACTGGACGACTTGCAACTGCACCTGGAAGACGAGCAGGAGAGAAATGCTGAGCTGGAGCGCAAGCAACGAAGGTACTGTAAAAGTCTTGGTACACGTAAACCGGTCAATTTTAGGAAATCATTATAATTATTTGTGGATCGTTAGAATGGCTTTTACAGTACACTTGTACTGCAGGCTCCTTGTGGGCTGTCGGCCATCTTGCACACTCTACAGAGTGTGTTTGAGTTGATGGCTTCCTTATCATGATTATGGTTGTCAGCTGCACAAGAAGGGTGCTCGTGTTGGTGGTGGTGGTGCTGCTGCTGCTGGTGGTGCTTGTGGTGGTGGTACTGGTGGTGATGATTTTTAGCGATGATCAACTGGCTGCAGTGGAGCCTCCGAGTATTGAAGACAATAGCAGACCACGAGGAAAGGTGTTTTTTTGTATGGAATGCAGGGAATCCTGACGGACAACCTGTGTTACCCACCTGTGTGTTCTGCTTGTTGTGACCTCCCTTTATCCTTCCTTACTCTTGCTCTATATCTAGGGTGTATCCGGCTGTGTGCTTTTCTGCTTGTTCTGACCTGCGTTCGCCCTGCTGCCTTGGTTTTGCTGCTATATGTCTAGGTTTGATGCTGAGCTGAGTGGTGCCCAGGAGGAGGTTGAGCGAGAGCGGGATATGCGTGAGAAGATGTCGCGCTCCACCGAGGTGGAACAGGCTGGTAAGCTGACTCTCAAAAAGCAGCTTGACGAAGCTGACGACACTCGCTTGGACCTGGAGAAGCAGATCAAGCGACTCCGGGAGGAGCTGGAGGATGCGTCGTCGATGGGAAACAAGGATGAGCGAGAGGTATGCGGCAGGTTTACATGAATGTGTGTGGGTGTGTGGGTGGGTGGGGGGGGGGGGGTTGTGGGGGTGTAGGGGGAGGACGGGATTGTGGGTGGGGGGGGGGGGGGGGGGGAGGGTCAACGTCAAATTGAGCGTTATGACACACATTCTAGAAATACATGACACTGCACACTCTCCATCATCACATCCCTGTAGAAAATTGATCACAGCCTCGTAGTGTTGGACACGAGTTGTCCGTAAATCAAATTATCCCCCCCCCCCCCCCCCCCTCTCCAATTCTCATACATTATCATGTGAAGCCCCATGGTATGAAGTAGTTAAGATGTGATTCTCTCCCATCGTATTCGTGTACTCTCCAGCTCGCTTCTCTTCGCAAGCAGAAGCGTGACCAAGATCGTAAAATTGAAGATCAAGAAGAGGAGCTGGAGGATCTTGCTGGACAAGTTCACCAACTGGAACAGGTAAAGCGACATCTAGTGCATGCCCGGCTTCATGACATTAGAGAGGTTAAGATGCACGTTATTTCTGACGTCACACGAAAGCTCAGCTCGCGTTATTTGGCTCGCGCGTCGAAAAACAACGCGAGTGACCTGCAGCTCACGTCGAAATTTGGAGTTTTACGCCAATTTTGATGTGAAATTGCGCGTCGCGGCAGAAATAACGCTCTCTATAGTATACCGTGTGTACTCAATCTCCAGAGGGCTAGGTATTTCCACCTGGCTAGGTCTCCTTTACTGAGCCCGAAAAACTTCAGATTTTATTCAAAGGTTCTAAGGAAGAATAAGGAAGACTCGGATGGCGAGCCAAGGATTAACTTTAAAAGAAAGGACCAACATGTTGCATGTTATCCGTAGTAACAGCTTGCTGAGAACTGTTAGTGTTGGACACGAACTACGGATAACATGTAACATTTTGGTCATTTTGTTAGGTACCTCCTCCCGTACAATCTTACCTACAACCTTTCCTAAGCTGGCCGGCCTGCATGCACCCGTACTACGTCATACTCACCTTTCGTTCCGTTGGCCTGGGTAGCTACTTGCGCGCCCATGTTTGCCATAGCTACCCAGGCCCTTTATATTGCGTTGCTTCTCTCTTCAACTCTCTCTCTCTCTCTTCACCTCGCTCTCTTCAATCAACTCGCTCTCTTCAATAATCACCATGTAGTCTTTTCGTTCGTCCTGGTCTTAGTCATCCCGGCTCTAATGAATGTCGACACTTTCTTTTGAAGAATATGGAGATAGGAGAAGGTCTACCAAGAAACACTTCATCCCTGCATTGCCAGTAATCTTTAAAAATGCAAACAATATGGCTGCTGGTGGTGGCTAGGCATGTAACATCAATGGCCGAAGAATATGTCAAATGGAACTTCTCAGCTTTCCCAACCCAGCTTCCCGGCCTTTTCCCGCATGAAACTGCAAGCATGCTGAACATTCTACTGTTAGCTTGATCATCAGTACGTGACATGCATTGTGAAGCTATTGTGTGTGTGTGTGTGTGTGTGTGTGTGTGTGTGTGTGTGTGTGTGTGTGTGTATGTGTATTTGTGTATACTCCGTCCTGCAGACTCGTACTCGTTTGGAAATGGCCAATGAGAAGCTGCGGCAGCAGCAGCAAAAGGACAGCGAGGCACGAGAGGAAGAGCTTGAGGGCCAGCGGTTCACCTCCCATAGAAAGGTTAGAGAAGTGCTACCTTGCTCCATTTCCTGTAGAGGTTGTGCAGTGACATCATCAGTTGAGATGCTTTGGCAAAGTCGCGGCACGCAGAGTTGCATTAGCAACTCACGCTGTATACATAGCGCCCATAAGCGGTTCCGCTGATTCACCACCCAGTGTCATTATTCGCATAACCTCTATGCATCTCTTTCCATCCTGTTCCTTTAGCACTTGAGATTACTCCCGTTGTGCTTGTAGAAATCATTCATTGGATACCGTGTGCATTCACAGGGTGCTGTGATAAATACACTCAACTCTCCGCATAGAGCATTGCAAGTCACTCAAGTCACTCTGGGGCGACTGTCGCATGTGTATTGTTGCTGTATGCAGATCAAGAGTCTAGAAGTGCAGCTGGAAGAGGAATACGAAGAACGGCAGAACGCAGTGCGCGTAAGTGAATGACACACGCCCATTTCCCTGCAAACACCCGCCAAACACTGGGCTTGACTATGTGTGACAACTTCACTCTCGCGTTGCCATCATAGGGCATTAGACAGTTACAAGATGGTGCTGCTGTAGGAGTGCATGGGATGAGGAGATGAAAAGGATGGACAGTCACACTCTCGTAGTATACCCCCGACATCTTCCCTTTCCCGGGCACATTGCACTGTGTTTCCGATCCTATACTGTTAGTGGGAGATTAGGATAAACCGCTTGGTTGGTTGAAAACACGTTGTTTGGTTGAAAGCCGTGGAACATGCTGTCAACCAAACAACGAGTAGTATGTTCTATCCAGGGTCGTTCTTTATACTGAACTGTGTCTCTGTGCATTCATTTCTCGTTGTTTTCTTATCACCGCCGCCGCCGCTGTGTGTGTGCGTGTGTTTCTGCGTGCGTATGTGCACAGGCGCAACGCGACGCCGAGCATCAGATGCAGGCCATGCGCGAGCGACTGCAACGTGGCAATCCCGAGGCGGAGCGCAAGCTACGCAAGGGGCTGGCACGCACACGAGCTCTGCTGAACGACGCACAGGCGCAGATCCAACAACAGCAAGCCAGACCGGAGAAGGTCAAGCAGATGAAGAATCAGGTAAGCGGGTTACTGTAGTTTCACAAATTTTCGGTGTACTTTTATTTTCGGTGCATCTGTTTCATATCTAAAATTTCAACACACCGAACAAACACTAACACACATAACCCAATAGGGAACTGCTTCTCTGTACCTAAAATTTCTGTTCACCTCACCTGGCCTTTTGCCCTCATACCGAAAATATTGAGCACGGAAAATTTCTGAAAATGAGAGTATTCCCAGCTTAGTGATACTGTATATGACTGTTGATTGCAAGTCCCATGTAGCCCTGTCATGACTGTTGATTGGAAGTCCCATGTAGCCTAGTCATGACTGTTGATTGCAAGTCCCATGTAGCCTAGTCATGACTGTTGTAACTTCCAGTGCACGCTGTATCCCTGGTGATGACCTTTTGGGCGGAAATGTGAAAAGTCTCGGGACGGAAGCTTTTTTTCTTGGTGTAGCCAAGGACTTGGTGCGGCTATGTACGCTGGAAGATGCTATGATATAATTTAATGATACTGTTGAAGAAAAAGAAACTCTCTCTCTCCCCCCCCCCCCCCCCCTCCATCCTCATCACTCTGCCAAACATTCCTTCTGCACTTCTTCAACCTGTGTTGCCTTCTGTAGCTGGATGAAGCCCAAGAGGATCTACAGAGCTTGCGTCGCACCAAGACCCGGCTTGAGCGTGACCTTGAGGACAGCCAAGAGTCCATGGAGGTGGTGGAACGTCAGAAACTGGAGCTTGAACAGCGTCTGAGTAGCTCACAGAAGGAGCGTGAGGAGATCGAGTCGCGCCTGGAGGAGGAGCAGGACGAGCTAGACCGCTTGATGTCTAAACAGAGGCACACACTGGAGAAGGTAAGCGCCACCGCTTATTACAGAGGTTAAGCTGCATGCTATTTTGACGTGGCACGAAGGTTCTCGGGTGTTGGAAAACAACGCCAGCGAGCTGCATCTCACGTTGAAATTTCGACCCGTTTGACGTGAAATTGCGCGTCTGGTGGTCGTTGCAATGGCAGTAGTGATTGTACACCTGCTGGTGGTGTGCTTCTGTCACGCTAATTGTGTGCTGTTCTGTTGCTTGTAAATATTGTTGGTTCTGCCGATTGCCTTTGTTGACCAGCTTCGCTTGAATATCTGCTGAGCTGTGTACGTGTGTGTGTGTGTTTGTGCGTGATTGCATGTGTGTCTGCACGTGTGTATGTACATGTGTGTCCCTCTACTGTCATGTTTCATTCATCAGGTAACCAGTCTGCAGATCGAGCTGGAAGAGAGTCAGAACTTGGCGTCAACGCTCTCCGATGATCGTGAGAGATACAAGCGGCAGGTACGCGACCTCGAGCAGCAGATCTCCGACATGCAGTCAGATACGGTCGACAAGCTAGCCGTGCAGAGAGCCGAAGCAAAGGTCAGTAACCACAAGGGTTCGAATGATCAGTCCGCCACACTTGCCCGTGCCCCCCTCCGTGCCTCATGCGGGCTATGCGCCTGGTGATTGTGCAGTCAGCCTGGCGTATAACAGCCCTTGATCCAGCCGGGGAAGCACGGTTTTGTTATTCGCTTGTCGTGCCGACAAACGGTTGTGAGTTGTTCGTGAGTTGTTCTTATACCTGAAGTTGTTATTCACGACATTGACTGTGCCGTGAAATACTGCGTTGTTGTTGCTGTTGGTGGTGAAAAAGGAACGGATTTGAACAGCTGGCACTCACGTTCTATACGTGCTACCACGTGCTAAGCAGACCACTCATCATGGAGAAAAATCTCTTGGACGTTGTCTGTGTGTGTGTAGATGCGTGAGCTGGAGGAGAAGCTGGAGATGGAATCCAACTCTAAACATCGCATGGAGGTAAGCTGGTGATGACTAGTACTGCTGCAGCAATTGTCAGGCTTTTGGGAATATGTTTGTGCACTCTGTGCCACTGTACTGCATGGTGTTCTAATCGGGGGTGGGGGTGGGGGAGGAGGGGAGTTCAAGCTTGGCTGGGGGTAGCTGAACAGTGCCCATCATCAGCTGGGGTGGATAAGAAAGGAGACAATTTTTTTCTTCCTGTTGACCGCCTTGCAGAGCACGGTGACAAGACTGCGTGACAATCTTGAGCAAGCCAGCGCGTCCACTACAACCTCCGCTATGGAAAGTGCAAGGTGAGCATAAGTTTACAGTCCACTTTGCATATAACGACACTCGGCGGCGGGGCATCAGCAAAGTGTCCTTATTCGCGAAGTGTCCTTGTACCCGAAGTCTCATTATATGTATTACAGTTAGATGGGTCTTTGCTCTAGGCATGGAAATTCTGTCGTTATTCGCGATTGTCGTTATATTCGCAGTCGCTATTAGCGAAGTTGACTGTAGCTCTCTCCCCTTTGTATGTACTGCGTAACCCCATAACACACTGCTGCTCCCTTTCTATGGTTATCAACTGTGCATTATCTTTCAACTGGCTAGCTCTCGCCCTTCAGGTCACCTCCATTCGTGGCCGTCACCTATTTCATTCACCATCCAATGGTGCTTCTTTCTCACAGTTTGAGTCCGGTGGCCGTCCTTTTTAATTGTGCTGCAGGTCGCGCAAGGAAGCCGACATGAAGGAGAATCTGCTGGAGCTGGAGAATCGCGAGGCTGACGCCGCTAGCAAATGCCGACGAGCGGTAAGGAAGATGCTGTTGTGCATGTATGTTGCAGGCCCTCCGGGACAGGTCCTGTTGGTCAGTTTATCACCGGACCAACTTGTTGGCCATCAATGCATGGTTATTTCTGTAGAGGTTATGTTCACCAGCCATATCATATCATACACAAACTGTATGAAAGGCCGGACCAATTGAAAACTGCTTCTTGCAGTCCTGAGTTGGGTTTGGGTTGTGGAAAGTATCTGGGCATAGACCACCCTTTTCAGGTGATCTACGGATATTTCCCCTAGTTTGAGGGGATTATGGCTCATAATCCCCTCAAACGAGGGGATCTCATATCCACAGGAGATCCTGTGGATCCGCTCGGACGGTGGGTCGGACCCAGTCCCCCTACCAGCATAACCAAGAGAGCTAGCTCCCTTGGCTGCTGCTTGAATATGCAAGAATAGGCCTTCCAGATAAGGTCTAAAATGGGGAAGTGGCTATAGTTGTAAAAAGAAAAGCATATTGGTGAAACAAAACTACGGAAGTGGCAATCTTTCTATCAGCAACAAACAAGAGCATCTTAATTTGCAACATGCTACATGAACCGGGTGTGCCCAACACCGGTAACCATAGAGACACACCACACTCTCATCTGGTTATAAATAGACCGAGTAAGGAATATAATCCAATAGCCTATGGAGAGTAAAAGAAATTGAGTCAATGACAACAAAAATTCAAATATGACTAGGTCCAGGCAAGGATAGGGCCCATGGTAGCCCTTCAAGTTGAGAGAAAATACAATTGCGAATGAAATACACGAATATCACAGCACGAAGGGCATACCAAGTTCGTGATGGAGCTAAAGTCGTACGATAAACAATCAGGGAAGGGCTACGTCTTTACAAGAAATGTAGGCTCTCTACAATACCGCCATTGAACACCAACACCTCGCCATCGGCGATACGCCAGCAGCAGCAATTCCCATTCCACGATATCGCAGCTTCGGTTTGTTCATCTCAGGGCTGCTCGCGTCAGATTCACTCTCGCTCAGATGAGCACTCAGGCGCGAGCTTACGCATGCCGTGATTCTCACGGCCAGGCGAATCAGCTGATCGCACCTGACGAGTCCTTGTGACAGTCGCTGTCGCCGTGTCGGCAGCAAGAAGGCTTCCTCTCTGTTTGGAGAATTTTGTTTCTTCATTCGTGGACGATATATTTTTGAACTAGCAGGACTCAACGGAGCTCTTTTTCTCAACACACTACACTGCAAAACCTCCCGGGAGATCCAGCCTGGACTGGTGGTGTTACTGCTCTCAGAACGCTTGTCAAACACGGCCCCAAGAGATGCACTCGCATTCTCGAAATGCACGCATGGCGGATGGTCGTCTTTTCCAATTTCAACAAACTTCAGTCGATCGATACGGCAAAAATGTGTATGGTAAGCATGGTTGTTTTGTACATCGTCAGAAAGCCTTGGACCTCAGCTACGCGTAGAGCGCCATTTTAGCTGTCTCCTAGCAACAAGACCCCAAAAAAATGAGGGCCAAACGTACCAATACTATAGTATCGGTTCGCTTATGGTAGACCGGTAAAGGGTTAAGAACTCAGATGGTGAGCCAAGGAACAAATTTCCATGTTACAAATAATCGCTTTTAAAAGTTAAAAGTAAAGAGCGGGTGGTACAGCAGACTTCCTATTCTGAATTCCCTGAACGAAGCAGAGACATTAGCTGGGTACATGTCACTATTACACAGTAGCAAGAGAGCTACCTCGGTCGATATCAGTGGACGTGGACTACGAGTGGATGCGACATGCGAGTGGATGCGACAGCAAGAGTGACTGGAATAATGGGTGATACGTTTCATGGAGCGAGCGTCTGTGGGATGACTGACATCTTGAACACACTGCGTTGGGGGATGGTGCGGATGTCGCTGGGTAGTGCGTTCCACAGCTTGGGAGCGGCAACAGAGAACCTAGCCTGACCAGCGCGGCTTGCGGCGGGTGGTACGTGCGCTCCGATGTCCTTCTGCAAGCGGGCACGCCGATCTGGTGACCTTGAAATCAGTCCACAGAGCCGGTTCCTGTGTACATGTAGATGTACCCATTCACGCTCTACTGGTCTTGTCAAATTTGTTCCACACGATCACAAACAATCCATCTTATTTCGGATACTCTTACACCATTCGACTAAGCCATGGGACGGACGTCAGTGTCTGAAAATTCTTCATTGTAGTCTTTGATTTGCAGGGAATAAATCGCCTCCACGCCGGTAGGTGACAGACGAACAGAGCACCTCAAATCATTTTCAAATAATTACAATATCTACTATTTCGTCGTCTTCACTTGATCGCTATCAGTATCGCTTTTCCCCACGGTCTTGTCAGCTACCAACAAGCAGCAGAGTTCATGAGGCTTCGTCTTGGGAGACAAACCAAAGAAAGTGTGTGACAATCCGCATTCGCCTCAGTCAAACCAATAAGTGGATCAAAACCTGGAGAGGCGACGAACACACGACTACTAGTATATCAGAACTACCGGTACTTCGCGTTCGGTGTTCCGTTCACAGTGCACTGGTTCATGCTGCATGCAGCGCTGCTGATCACCCGAAAAGTGTGGTCTATACAGGATATTGCACAGTGTCCGCGAGGATTATTTTTCATAATCCCCGCGGCGCTGCGCGCCTTGGGGATTTGAAAAATAATCCCCTCGGAACCGTGCAATATCCTATACATAATGTTGTAAAACCGTGCTTCTGGCTGCACGGGCTGTTAAAAGCACCTTTCAAGCCAGGTTTGTAGGGAAGCAGTAATTCTAGATCTACCCATGCTAGGGATGTGAACAATTTAGTCTGCCCAAGGCCCACACAAACCGGAAGCAACAACTTTGTGACTTCGAGTGACGTCTCTGTTCTCGTGAAGGGAGCTCTGAGGAATAGAGTGACTTCTTGCTTCCGTCTATCCACTCACTATATTGAACTGTCTTTTGTTCCTATCAAACGAATTTCTCGATCACAGTATCACCTAAGAATATGGATGATAAAGAAAAGAAAGAATGTGCAATGTCATCGCATGAGCTGATTGTTTAGTAACTGGTGGTGTTAGTGGACATTATAGCGTAACTTGTAGTTCCTTGGTCCATTTCTTTTGTATAAATTTATCCTTGGCTCTCCATCTGAGTCCACACTCAGTTTCCATCCAAATTATACTTCTGAAAATCGAAATGCCCAAGTAAATTTTTCTTTTCTATTAAAAAAATAATAGAAAACTCAGAAGCTGCGACAGACTCGGCCATTTGAAAATAATTGTGTGGAGAGGTGAATAATTTCAAATGTGGATAGAAACTATTAAACAGGAGTCACCCAGTTTTTAATGTTTGCGGAGGAAGTGTTTGTTGATTCAAGTTGTCACCGGGCTGTTATGTGCTGTGTTCTGCCACCACACAGGAGCGTGCACTGACAGACATGGAGTCTGAGCGTGACGACGCCCTGACCGAGGTGAAGCAGTGCAAGGAGCGCATCAAGTCGCTGCAGAAGGCGCTCAACGACGCCGCCGGCTCCGACGACCAGGGCGGCGACATGATGAGTGACGAGGACGACGAGAGCGATTTGAGCTTGGACGACGACGACGAGAGCCCGCGGTTAACCGCCAGCCACCGATCCTACAGTCGCGGCAGCCGCGGATCCGGTTTCCATAGCAGCGGTGGAGGCGGAAGCACGCATCGCCTGAGCCGTTACCACGACGACAGCGACGACGATGACGACTTGGACGACCGTCCTCCGAGGTCATACGGCAAGCGTTCGTCACGGCGAGCCTCGACCAGTGACAATGAGGATGATGACGACGTGGTGGAGACCTCCACTAGCAAGCCGTGGCGACGGCATTTCGTGGACTCGGATGATGAGAAGGACGAGCTGGATTCGCGTGCTGCCAGGGCTGCCGCTGGTGGTGGTGGTACAGCGTCATCGTCACGACGACCCAGGCAGACAACGTCTGATGATGAAACATCCGGCAGTAGAAGAACTCGGCGCGCCGACGTGTACACGGAAGAGTATGATGCTTAGCATTGCTAGCAATTTCACTGCCTACAGTGTGTGTGAGGGAATATGATCATCCAAGCTTGTTAGTGTTGGAAAGCAGACTCGGTGCTGCTTTGCTGTTGCGGTATGGTCTGTTTCCCTTGCTGGTGGTGGTTCGGGTGACAAGCATGCAGGGCAGCCAGTACTGCGGTTTCTGCGCGTGTGGTGTGGTGACCAGAGTTGCAGCTTTTCCGGCAGTCGTGAAAACATCACGTGCCCTCGCAGCACGTGCACGTGCTTGGCGTGCTTGAGAAGGCGACCAGTCGCCGCTGCCGATTGATGCACGTGTGCAGCATTGCGTTGCGGGCACCATGTTGCCTGCCAGATTATACACAGCAGCAGCAGCAGCAGCGTACTCGCCGTGTGCACCGAGTAGTAGATAGCCCGCACACCACAACACACTGCACTGCACGGCACGTGGACTGGCTGCCCGTACCTGGGGCGCACTTGACTGGGAACAGAATTTGAGCACCTACGTAAGCACTGCTGCCCGACTGCTTGAGTTTTCGCGTGATATTATTTTCTTCGTTTCCTCTCTCTCTCTCCCTCTCTCCCTCTCTCTACCAGTAGTTGTAAAAGAAGATTATTATAGTACCCTGGGAGAGAGGGAGAGAGCAATGTGCTCTGAAGGGCTCTGGTGCGGAAACTTGCTTTTCTGGCGCCTGCAGTAATTGACTTCCGTCGCTGCTTGCGGCTGTTTGTGTGCGTGTTTCATGTGTATTATAGTCACAACGCCATCCATTGTTCACGCTTGTCATGCTGATTGGATTTTTCTTCCCTCGTTTCCTTGTAATATAATTATTATATTCTGGATCTTGTTGTAAATATGAGAGTATACAATGTATTGCCCCAGGGGCAGTTGAAGCCCCTCCTGGTCTATGTATATATATGTGTATTTTGCCCCTCCTGGTCTTTCTACCCAATCATTGTACCCAGTCCGTATCAGGCAGCTAGCTTGCATTCATTTTCTTTCTACATGTATTTTTACAGTGGAGGGAAGAAATTTTCTTCGTCATGATTGTATTAACCAGTGTGACCATTTTCTTTTGTTCAAAACATGGACTTTCGGAACCCTCTTACTCCTCATGTTTGAGGATTCTATTCCGTTGACCTGACTGCCATGATGTGCCGATGATCGCTTTAGCCTCTTCTTCTTCTGTTTTGTTTTTATTGCTTTGATGTTTTGACCAGCCTGTCTTGGATACTGTTGTCATCCGATACTTACTCTCTATTGATACAAGACTTATAAATATTATTATTTCCGATCCTTGGTGTCTGGTGAGGGGAAAATTGCCTAAGAACAGCCCTGATGTGAAGAGCTCACTGCTCTAGCTCTGCGCAGAAAGCTGTAGACTGGTGGAATCTTTGCACCACAGTGGCCATATTGATATTAATTATTAATTTATTATTGCTATAAGGCTACAAGCACACACTGTAAAATGTTTTTTTTTGGTGTAACTTTAATTTCGGCGACTCAGTTTCGGTAGAAATACCAGGCACCTAAATTTAGATTGCACCTAAATGGCACAGGAGTATTGCGCTGTATGTGATGGGAATGTTGGTCACCTAATTCTAAGTTACACCTGAAACCTGGCTGGTCCCTGACACTGAAATGTTAATACACCTAAAATCACACGTTTTACAGTAAAAACTTACTGTCAAACCTGTTTAGGACGAACACTGATACGGCGAACTTTCCATTAGTACGAACTAGGGCCAATCCTTTGGTTGGCCAGGCATCATATCAAGTAAAAACTATTCGTTAAAGACAAACTCCTGTACGGCGAACTTTCGTGAAGACGAACTAATTTCAAGCGCGATTTGAACAAAATCAGCGTGTAGTACGAACTTTCGGTCCCCGTGGGTACGCTGGCTGTAGTAAGTTTCCGATGGGCTTCTTGAACTGGCAGAACATGTTTCAAGGCGGAGCTGCAGGCCGGAGGGCATGCTGTCAAGAATTCATTGCACATTGTACTTACCTGTTGCTGGGTAATGTTATGAAAAAAATGTTTTACATTTGCCCCACAGCACGCACCTTGAAATAGATACAATCCACAATGCTATGCATATCAATTTTTGTCAGATCTGGATAAGAAGAACTCTGGATAAGACAAACGAACTTGTTCGGTCCCTTGAAGTTTGTCCTCACGAGGTTTGCCTGTACACAATGGTACATGTGTCTGGGCATCAGTACAGCAGTGATGCACATGTACATGGACTGTAAGGTGTAAATCCAGAAACGCTCGCGATTTTCGCAATGGGTGTGAAATCGCGAACGTAAGTGGGCGGGAAATGCGAAGCTGTCGACTCGAGTCAATCATCAAAATGATCAAAATCAAAGACTGCTACACAATTGTGATTTTTGTATAGCAGAAACTGCTATGCAAAGATATGTATAATGACAGTAAATAATTCATCCCTGTAACTGGTGGTGTCAGTGGACAATAGCGCAACTTGTAGTTCCTCGGTCCTTTTCTTCTATAAGGCCACACGTTTTTATTAAATTTGCTATGTCTCTCGTCACCCGAAAATCTGAAATCGTATGCGAGAGGTGGAAAAAAAAATTAAATGACCGAAAAGTTTACTAGACCTGGTAGCTATGGTCATACTAAAATCGACCAATACACTCACTGTGTAAATTAATAGCATCCAAAGTTAGCAACTACTCTAATTTCAGAAATTTTCGGTGCTCAATATTTTCGGTATGAGGGCAACAGGCTAGGTTAGGTGAACAGAAATTTTCGGTACAGAGAAGCAGTTCCCTATTGGATTATGTGTGTAAGTGTTTGTTTGGTGTATTGAAATTTTAGGTACGAAACAGACGCACCGAAAGCACCGAAAATAAAAGTACACCGAAAATTTGTGAAATTACAGTAAGTACAGTACAAGTGTAGTAGTACGTACAATGTCATGTACATGTAGTACAGTATTTTCCCGAATATAAGTCGACTTCGAATATAAGTCGACTTCGAATATAAGTCGACTTCGAATATAAGTCGACTTCGAATGTAAGTCGACTTCGAATATAAGTCGACTTCGAATATAAGTCGACTTCGAATATAAGTCGACTTCGAATATAAGTCGACTTCGAATGTAAGTCGACTTCGAATATAAGTCGACTTCGAATATAAGTCGACTTCGAATATAAGTCGACTTCGAATATAAGTCGACTTCGAATATAAGTCGACTTCGAATATAAGTCGACTTCGAATATAAGTCGACTTCGAATATAAGTCGACTTCGAATATAAGTCGACTTCGAATATAAGTCGACTTCGAATATAAGTCGACTTCGAATATAAGTCGACTTCGAATATAAGTCGACTTCGAATATAAGTCGACTTCGAATATAAGTCGACTTCGAATATAGGTCGACTTTGGATATAAGTCGACTTCGAATATAAGTCGACTTCGAATATAAGTCGACTTTGAATATAAGTCGACTTTGAATATAAGTCGACTTTGAATATAAGTCGACTTTGAATATAAGTCGACTTTGAATATAAGTCGACTTCGAATATAAGTCGACTTTGGATATAAGTCGACTTCGAGTATAAGTCGACTTCGAATATAAGTCGACTTCGAATATAAGTCGACTTTGAATATAAGTCGACTTCGAATATAAGTCGACTTTGAATATAAGTCGACTTTGAATATAAGTCGACTTTGAATATAAGTCGACTTCGAATATAAGTCGACTTCGAATATAAGTCGACTTCGAATATAAGTCGACTTCGAATATAAGTCGACTTTGGATATAAGTCGACTTTGGATATAAGTCGACTTCGAGTATAAGTCGACTTCGAATATAAGTCGACTTTGAATATAAGTCGACTTTGAATATAAGTCGACTTCGAATATAAGTCGACTTCGAATATAAGTCGACTTCGAATATAAGTCGACTTTGGATATAAGTCCACTTCGAGTATAAGTCGACTTCGAGTATAAGTCGACTTCGAATATAAGTCGACTTCGAATATAAGTCGACTTTGAATATAAGTCGACTTTGAATATAAGTCGACTTCGAATATATGTCGACTTCGAATATAAGTCGACTTTGGATATAAGTCGACTTCGAGTATAAGTCGACTTCGAATATAAGTCGACTTTGAATATAAGTCGACTTTGAATATAAGTCGACCACCCCAAATCCAGGAGTCAATTTCATGAAAAAAAGTTTTTATAGCTCCCGCATGACACCCACGCCCACCCACCACTCCATGACACCCACGCCCACCCACCACTCCATGACACCCACGCCCACCCACCACTCCATGACACCCACGCCCACCCACCACTCCATGACACCCACGCCCACCCACCACTCCATGACACCCACGCCCACCCACCACTCCATGACACCCACGCCCACCCACCACTCCATGACACCCACGCCCACCCACCACTCCTTGACACCCACACCCACACGTACAAAATGATGAATTCTCAGCGAGGAGAGATCATATCATGCCAGTAAGACAAAATCTGAACGAAACCAGTGTCATCCAATGTTCATTCAATGTTAACTGCCACTAGCCACTGTGCTTCATTTGTTGTGCCAGGTTCCCGTATGTAAGTCGAGTTCCGTTTGTAAGTCGACCCCCAGCTTTTGGCGAAATTTCTGGCGCACAGAAGGTCGACTTATATTCGGGAAAATACGGTAGTAGCAGTTGTAGTAAAGTCAACTTTGCGTATAACGACATTCGGCGGGGCATCAGAAAAGTGTCCTTATTCGCGAAGTGTCGTTATACCCGAAGTCTCATTATTCGTATTACAGTTCGATGGGACTTTGCTCTGGGCATGAACATTCTGTCGTTATTCGCGAATTGAATTGTCGTTATATCCGCAGTCGTTATTAGCGATGTTGACTGTACATGTGCATGGTAGGAGCTTCTGTGCACTTCCATTGCACATGGTACATGTACAGTGGAAGTGCAGCTAGATTGCGCAACAAAACTGCCGACCTCGCATCATGTGTCGCACAGGCCAGGCCAGGGTGCACATTCATGTATGCATGTGCTAGTCACAATGCAGCACAGTTTTTTCCTTTTCTTTTTTTTCTTCCAGACTCCTGAATCGTATGTGTGCGGGTGACGAGAAACATTATACCGTATGTCCGCACCTTTAAAGCCATGGCGGTATATTCGATTATATAGCCGGTCTCAGTTGTTAAGCCATGGGCTTCATAAATGAAATGACATTTGAAGTATGTTTTGTAAAAATGAAGGAATAAGTACTATGCTAACAAACTTACAGCCCAGCAGGAAGGGTGAACAAGTGGATTTAGATTGAAATTTCTGTGTGGACTTTGACTTTTAAGGCATGGCGTAGTGTTGAGTCATTTTGCACATAAAACATAGGAAAGCGGAAAGCGGTGTTTCCAATATAAGGCCATGGCTTTTTAAAAAGGTGCTGACATACGGTAAATAAAAACGTAAATGCTTTTTCACGCTAGCACTTATGATTTTATGTGCTAGGTTGTCTTTTCCATATTTCAAGAGTTCACCTGGGACTCCATCTGGGCCAGGGGACCTTCCATTATCCAGTTTTTTTCAGCGCATTGGAGACCTCAGCAGATGAGATCTGTCTTTGGAGGCTTCTTGGGCGACCGGTGAATGGCTCGACGCCTGCATCCACATTCCCACGAAACTGGCCGTGGAAGTGGCCCCGGACAGTAGATGCCGCCTCCTGGTCATCGGCTATGAAGCGACCCTTCTGGACATGTACAATGGGCTTTCCGCTTGGCTTTCTGGTCATCAGCTGGACTGCTTTAAACAGCCGTGCTTCATTCTTCAACCTCTCGACTTCCGCTGCTCTCTCTTGCATAATTTTCCCTGCATTGTCTCGGCATTTTGTTCTTATAGCGTGAAGGATTCTGTTTTGTTTCGTCTTGAGAGATGCTTTGGTGTCAGGGTTGTTAGTGTTGTCAATACTGATCCTCAGTGATCTCTGTTCCAGGGACAGCAGCTCAATTTCATGATCTGGTGCTTTGCAACGAGTTTTCTGCTGGACTGTACCAAGGACATCACCTGCTGCACTCCTGACCACTTCCATAAGCCTCCGGGATCTTTCCTGCAGGCCGGTGTTGCCTTGGACCGGATCGGCAGCTAGCAGCTCACTGGCCAACTTCTCAGCATATTCCTCTTGGACTTGTCTTTCGGCTAGTTTGAATGTGTTGAACTTAGTCGCCTGCAGATCATCTTTCTTCCTCTGTCCAAATATACCATATAGCCTCTGGAGGTCCAACCACGCAACA